CTTCTACTTGGCCTCCCCGTCCACTCCCTCACCCAACCTTTGCAACCCTGTGGTCTTCCTTTGTGTAGACCACCAGGCTTCTCATAATTTTAAGTAAAATGTTTCATAAAACCCCAGTTTAGACTGCCTTCAAACCCTCTGCCACCCCAGAGCCGGCAGCTGACTCTGACCCCTGAGTTAAGAGTCCCAGCCTGGCAATGTTCTGTGCACCCACACGGCCTGTGCTTGGCAGGCACAGTGCGCACGAGGGGGCAGAGGGCAGACACACAGCTTCTTGGCTTCGGAAATGGTCTGAGTTGGGCAAGTTTGGAGCACGTGAGCTTAGTTTTCATGTTTTGTTTCTGCGCCCAGGATCTGAGAGCGGGAGTGGTGGGCTCCCTGGCCAGCGTGGGGTGGGTGGGGCGGGTGTGGGGGGTGGTCAGGAAGGGAAGGGGACGAGTGGATGCCCATTTGCTCGGACGCCCTGCTGGTTTCTGCTGCCTCTTCTCATATCTGTGCCCAGCCTCTAGAGCAGGCGTCCCCAAACTGCGGCCCCCTGAGGCCATTTATCCGGCCCCCCGCCACACTTCAGGAAGGGGCACCTCTTTCATTGGTGGTCAGTGAGAGGAGCACAGTATGTGGCGGCCCTCCAACGGTCTGAGGGACAGTGAACTGGCCCCCTGTGTAAAAAGTCTGGGGACGCCTGCTCTAGAGCCAGTGTCACAGAAGCGAATGTTCCTCTCGGAGAGGGAAGGTGGGCATAGAAAACAGTGCATCATGCTGGAGATCACGGGAGCGTCTGTGCGGGACAGAAGTGCCGCTTCTAAGCGGAGCTGCTTCTGCACCAAGTGAAGGGTGACGGACGGTAGGTGGAATTCCATTAGGGGCCTCCGGATGAATAGTAAGGCAACTTCTGAGCTTCCACGGAGGAAGGTTCCAGAACAGGCGTTGCTTGCTTTCTCCTGTGTCTCCCTCCCACCTCCCCCAAGGTTGGGTCTGGCGCCTTAGCCAGAGAAGGAGGGCAGTAAAATAATTTTACTTCTTTGACCCTGAGGCAGAGAGACTCCAGTGGGAAGAGCTAGCCCGGGGGCACTCCCAGGCCACAGCACACTTTGTCTCCTTCCCACTTGTCTTCCCTGAAAGGTGTCCTTTCTTACTTGAGGGCAGCTGGCCCAGCTCCCTAGGGGGACTGGAGTGGCTCTCCAGAGGCCACACATGACATGGAATCTGGCGCGGCTTCCTCTCGCAGCTGGGGCCACGCACACGGATCCCTGCACCCCTACCCAGCGGCCTCAGCAGCTGTGTGTGTCTCCCTCTTCTTTCCTCATACCCTTTACAAACATTTTCCCCGCTAAGAATAACTTGCAGTTATAAGAAAACAAAACTCCACTGGAGCGGAAAACTCCTCTTTCATGCCAAAAGGCCAGGGTCGCTTGGATTTAGAGTGTCACTGGCAGCTTCTAGATCCTCCCCAACCCTTGTGGGTGAGTCCATGTCTCAAGAGCTGGGCCAGGCAGGAGGGCTCTGCTAGCTGAACTTGCACACCCCGTGGGGACAGATCTAGACCTGAGCCTGGTTGCTGTCTTGTGGGTGTCTGATGCCCAGTGTAGGGCATGTCCTGGAGGAAAGAACAGCTGTGTCGCGGGGAAGAAAAGGTCACCTGGGAGAAGCAAAGGTGGCCCTGTGGGCTCATTCTTCCAATGGTACAGCCCGAAGGCTCCTCTTCCCTAGCACTCCAAGCTGTCACAGCAGCCACCTGGGGTGTCACAGGGCCACTGGGTCAGGGAAAAGCAAATGCTTCATAAATGCTCACCTCTGCCAGGTGAGTGGTGCACGCCTGTAATCCCAGCACTGTGGAAGGCCAAGGTGGGCAGATCACAAGGTCAACAGATCGAGACCTTCCTGGCCAACATGGTGAAACTTCGTCTCTACTAAAAATACAAAAATTAGCCGGGCGTGGTGGTGCGTGCCTGTATTCCCAGCTATTCAGTGGTGGGGGCTGAGGCAGGAGAATCACTTGAACCCGGGAGGTAGAGGTTGCAGTGAGCTGAGATCACGCCACTGCACTTCAGCTTGGCAACAGAGGAGACTCCGTCTCAAAAAAACAAAAATAAAAAGAAGGTCATCTCTAGGTGAATGCTGGCCAGGTAAAGCTGCTAAAATCACCCAGAGTTTATCACACCCCTGAAGTCTTTTGGGGTTTGTTTCCTCCGTGGTTTGAAGTTACCACAGATGAATTTGAAAAATGCAGCTGAGGTGGGAACATCGGTTGGTTATCTTGTTGAAATGCCCCTAGAGGAGGAGCAGTGGGACACAGTCTGTCCTCTAAAGGGACCCTGCGGCTGTCCCCTCATAGCATTGCAGGGCGTTGTAAGCCAAGGTTTGGATGCTTGTTGGGGCTGTTAGACATCAGGAATGATCTGCACAGAGAGAGACATGCAGGACTTTGTGGATCTCCGTGGGATCCAGGACGTGTATTTTTATGTCTTCATGCAGAGGGCATGGTGGCTAAGAAAGCACTGAATTTAACATCATTCAGACCAGGCATCGATTTACAAAGCAGTTCCGCTTCTGGCTTTGCTGCTTTCTTCTGTGGGTCACGTTTCCTAATCTCTGAACCCCAGTGTCCTTGTCTGTTACATGGGTAAGTTTCCCAGATTCTGTTACAGGAACGGGGGATGCCAAGCACTTTAGCAAGGTCTGCGCTTGGTGATGCTAGCTGCTTCCATCATTTCACTGCCCTTCTTTTCTAAATGCAGGCAGACCTCCCCCTTGTTTTGACAGCACAGCTCATGCCGTCGACAGTTCAGTCTGCTCCGATGGATAACCACTTTCTTTGTACGATAGGTTTTTAGTCATTTTTTGCCTAAGATCCACCCTGCTCACCATAGTTTAACATTTGTCTCTTGGTAGAGATTTGAGAGTTGTGAGTCTCAGAGTAGCACTTTTGAAACAAGTAGCACTTGGGGCTGATGCCCAGTCCATCTCTGTAGACTCAAAAGTATATATTCCACTGAAGAGCGGTATTTTATGTCCCCAGATTCTGTGCATGCCCCATACATGGATCCTAAAGCATGTAATGTCCCTTGGGTATATCACAGTAGGGGACTTATGTGACATGTGTACCCTGGGCCTGGAGTTAGGATACTTTACGTGGCCACGGGATATTCCTGGCTGTTTCATTGGCAGCCTGATGTTTGGGCTGAGAGAGTCAGAATCGGGCGAATCCTGATGATTATAAGTCGTATAATTATTATAGCTAAACGTTACAGAGTGCTTTCTATATGGTTCAGGTACTTGGGAGGGGCTGTGCCATAGCTTATGCTATTAGATCTTCACAGTAATCTAATGAGGTGGATACCAGTTTTACAGGTGATACAACAAAGGGTAGAGGGAAGCCGGGTGCTTGCCTGTAGTGACTTAATAAGCAGCTGTGCAGAAATTCAAGCCAGGTTTTTCTGACACCGAGGGCTATGGTAAGCTGCAGCGCTGCTTTGAGTGATTGTAGAATGTTGACTCTAGTGAAATAATTTATCCGAGATCACATTGCCGGTAAGTGGCTGGGCCAGGATTCAGGCGAGCCTGCTCTCAGCTACTCTGCTGCTGTTCCTCTGTCATAAGCAAAGGCCCCGAGGCGGGGTGTGTGATTCACTGCGATTAATGTCCAAGCCCTGGGTGCCTGGGGAAGAAACGGCTGCAGTGATTGGCTGCTTCTGGGTTTGGAGCAAGGAGGCTCATTTTCCCCTCTTGATAATTTGTTTAGATCACTAATTAAATTCTAACCATACTAAGGGAAATGGTTAACACGAGAAAAATCATCATGAGTCTTACTACCTCAAGCTTTCATTTGTCTTGTTTTTTTCTCTCTCTCGCTCTTTTTCCCCTTTTTCCTTCCCTCCTTCCTGTCTTTCTCTCTTTTTTTTTTTTCTCTCTCTCACTGCACCCAGGCCATGTTTATTTTTTAATAGCTTTATTTCAGAGGATTTCAAACATATATAAAAGTAGACAGGGCCAGGTGCGGTGGCTGACACCTATAATCCCAGCACTTTGGGAGGCTGAGGTGGGTGGATCACGGGAGCCCAGAAGCTTGAGACCAGCCTGGCCAACATAGTAGAACCCCGTCTCTACTAAAAATACAAAAATTAGCCAGGCATGGTGGCACACGTCTGTAATCCCAGCTCCTCAGGAGACTGAGCTAGGAGAACTGCTCAGACCTGGGAGGCAGAGGTTGCAGTGAGCCAAGATTCAAACACTGCACTTTAGCCTGGGAGACAGAGTAAGACTGTCTGAAAAAAAACAAAACAAAAAACAGAAACAGAGAATCTGATGAATTCCCATGTACCGGTTGCTTAGTTTCAGTGAATATCAGCTCATCCCTCATCACCTCTCATCCACACCCCCGTGCTTATACCCCCTCCTTTATTAGTTTGAAGCAGAACCCAGATCAGATGGTAAATCCATGATTATTTTAGTATCTCTAAAAGGACTTCTAAAAAATCATAACCGGCGGGGCTCAGTGGCTTATGCCTGTAATCCCAGCGAGGCGGGTGGATCGCCTGAGGTAAGGAGTTTGAGACCAACATGCCCAACATGATGAAACCCCGTCTCTACTAAAAATAGAAAAAAATTAGCCAGGCGTGGTGATGTGTGCCTGTAATCCCAGCTATTCAGGAGGCTGAGGCAGGAGAATCACTTGAACCCGGGAGGCGGAGGTTGCAGTGAGCTGAGATTGTGCCGCTGCACTCCCGCCTGGGCAACGAGTGAAACTCTGTCTCAAAGAAAAAAAAAAAAAACCAACATAATCACATTGCTGTTTTATTTTTTAAACTAAACCTATTGAGTTTGTCCATTTTATTAGTTTTTATTCTGTCCTTTCAAAAGGAGGGTTTATTCAAAGGTGAATTCAAGAAGGAGCAGAGGCAGAGACTGACCGAGAGTCTTGCCGTGTTGAGTGCGTGGCGGACGCGCTGTCGCTGCGCACAGGGAGAGGCCTCAGCCTCACCTGCCTTTCTCTCTCACAGGCTTATTTAGTCACCATGAAGCTGCTGCACCCGGCCTTGCACAGCTGCCTCCTGCTGACCCTGCTCGGCTTATGGACACCCAGCCCCGAGGCTCACGCTGCGTCCCCAGGCGCGGCCGCTCTCAGCGCCGCCTCCTTCCTGCAGGATCTAATGCGTCGCTATGGCGAGGGTGACAGCCTCACTCTGCAGCAGCTGAAGGCCCTGCTCAACCACCTGGATGTGGGGGTGGGCCGGGATAATGTCACCCAGCACATGCAGGGACACAGGAACCTCTCCACGGTAAGACTCCCCTGTAAGCCAGCAGCCCCGCTCAGCACAGTCCCTGGCCTCTTGGGGTTTCTTGTCTGGCTGGCCCAGGGCAGCCTGGCAGCTTGTCAGAGGTAGGATGAGGCAGGTCAGTCTTGAAGACAGAATGGACAGGCCAATTCTTGTTTCCCTGTTGTCTGAATCAGCATATTCTGAGTCTTCTGCAGTACTTTCTGACTCTACCCCTGCCCCCCGCCCCACCTAGGTGTCCTGAAGCCCTTAATAAAAGGCAGCCTGGGGCCAGTGGTTCACGCCTGTCATCCCAGCACTTTGGGAGGCCAAGGCCGGTGGATCACCCGAGGTCAGGAGTTTGAGACCAGACTGTCCAGCATGGTGAAATCCCAACTCTACTAAAAATACAAAAATCAGCCAGGCGTGGTGGTGGGTGCCTGTGATACCAGTTACTCGGGAGGCTGAGGCAGGAGAATTGCTTGCACCCAGCAAGGTGGAGGTTGCAGTGAGCCCTGATCTCACCCCTGCACTCCAGCCTGTGCAGCAGAGCAAGTCTCAAAACAAAACAAAGGCAGCCTGGAAGTGAGGTTCTCAGCCCCAGACTCTTCCTTAGAGCTGCACTTGAGTCACTCGGAAATGCTGAGAAAACACAGCTCCCAGACTAGCATTTCTCATAGAGTACCGTTTCCAGAGCCTGTTAACTATCCCAGTGAGCCCGCAGTCCCTCCAGGTGCAGCGGCGATTATCTGCATTTTACAGGAGAGGACACCAAGGGTCCCGCGGTGAGTCCCTGCAGAGACCCAGGCTGGAACGCCAGGTCTTTTTGGCTGCCAGTTCTGTGTTCTTTCTTCCATGTTATCTCTGCTAATCAGACTCTGGGGCTATTTGTGGCAGCCAAATATAAGTCAGCCGGCAAAATCTTTATATATCGACTTTGTTCCCTATGCTGGTGTTGTGAGAAATAGAGAAAAATGAGTCATATTTAGGGAGTTGACTGGCATGATGGGGAGCTTAACCAACAGAGGACAAAGTCAGCAGTGCTGAAATGAAGCATTGCATTTTGTGGGTTGGACAGTAATTGTAGGATGCAGAAATGAGAGGGGGAGAGGAGTGTGCTGGAGTCATCCGTGCAGGCTCATGCATGCAGTGTCCTCGAGCTGCCCCTTGAGATGAGTGCAGTGTGGAGATAAATGGGACAGGGCGGGCCGGGCACAGTGGCTTACGCCTGTAATCGCAGCACTCTGGGAGGCTGAAGCAGGCAGATCACTTGAGGTCAGGAGTTCGAGACCAGCCTGGCCAACAGGGTGAAACCCCGTCTCTACTAAAAATATAAAAATTAGCCAGGTATGGTGGTAGGTGCCTGTAATCCCAGCTACTCCGGAGGTTGAGGTAAGAGAATCACTTGAACCCAGGAGGTGGAGGTCATAGTGAGCTGAGGTTGCACCATTGCACTCCAGCCTGGGTGAAAGAGCGAGACTCCGTCTCAAAAAAAAAAAAAAAAAAAAAGGCCGGGCACGGTGGCTCAAGCCTGTAATCCCAGCACTTTGGGAGGCCGAGGTGGGCGGATCACAAGGTCAAGAGATCGAGACTATCCTGGCCAACATGGTGAAACACCGTCTCTACTAAAAATACAAAAATTAGCTGGGCGTGGTAGCGCGTGCCTGTAATCCCAGCTACTCGGGAGGCTGAGGCAGGAGAATTGCTTGAAACCAGGAGGCGGAGGTTGCGGTGAGCCGAGATTGTGCCACTGCACTCCAGCCTAGCGCCTGGCGACAGAGTGAGACTCTGTCTCAAAAAAAAAAAAAAAGGCAAGGGACAGGGGTGATCATGTGGTGTGGATGCAGAATGACTTGAGCGCAGCAGACACCGGGGCCAGGGAGGAGTGCACCCTGTGTCCCCCGGGTGCAGTGACATGGGTCTCAGGACCTGCCAGGACAGCAGCAGCATCAGCATCTCGGGGTCACAGGAGGCTAGCCCTCGGCCTTTAGAAGCCCAGGCACATATTTTGGCAGCACAGTCAGAGTGCTGACTCTCAGAGATACGCCCATGTGAGACCAAACTCAGAAAAGGCCTGGCATGTAGGTGTAGACGGTATAATTAGAAGTGGAGCTACAGATTTCACAGGAACGGTTCGTGAGAAGCGCTTACCTGCCACCTCCTAAGGTAACCGTGAGGCAGCTGCTGGCTGGCCACGGCCCACTTTGAATCTTCAGGTTTTCCTCCCCTTGCCTCTGGGAACATACATGTCCTCAGGCTGAGGGCAGTCGTGTATGGTTGAGGATGTGTGGGGCTAGTTGGGCAGCAGCACCGTTTCGGCGGAGCCCCACCGCTAGACATTTCAGCTTCAGAGAAGTAGCTGGAACCTGTGTTTTAATGTAATAGCTCCCTGGGCTATTGTGACTTGCAGCCAGATTTGGTATGAAGCTTGTATCTTCAGGCACACACACAGAATGGTGTTTTCTTTGTCTCTTCTTTTCTTTTTTTCTTTTTTCTTTTTTGAGAGGGAGTCTCGCTCTCTTGCCCAGGCTGGAGTGCAGTGGCGCAATGTCAGTTCACTGCAACCTCCATCTCCTGCGTTCAAGCAATTCTCCTGCCGCAGCCTCCCAAGTAGCTGGGATTATAGGTGTGCACCACCACGCCCAGCTAATTTTTGTATTTTTATTAGAGACAGGGTTTCACCATATTGGTCAGGCTGGTTTTGAACTCTTGACTTCAAGTGATCTGCCTATCTTGGCCTCCCAAAGTGCTGGGATTATAGACGTGAGCCATTGTGCCCAGCCCCAGAATGTTGTTTTCTAGAAACCATGCCCTAGTGACAATTTTTTTTTTTTTTTTAAGAGACAAGGTTTTGCTCTGTCACCCAGGCTGGAGGGCAGTGACATGATCATAGCTCACTCACTGTAGCCTCTAACTTCCGGGCTCTCACAGTCCGCCTGCTGCATCCTCCTCAGTAGTTGAGACTACACGTATGTGCCACCATACCTCTCTAATTGTTAAATTTTTTGTAGAGAAGGGCTCTCATTATATTGCCCAGGCTGGTCTCCAGTTTCTGGCCTCAAGTGATCCTCCTGCCTTGGCCTTCCAAAGTGCTGGGATTACAGTGTTAGCCACCATGTGTGGCCACTTTGGTGACAGTGATAGAAATGTTGTTATTCTTAAAATGTCTCAGGCACTTATTTACAGATGGTTGTGCTTATAATGTGTTAACTTTCACAGCTAGCTGAGCCATAAGGATCACTTACTAATTGTTGTTGTTGTTGTTGTTTTTTGAGACAGAATCTCACTCTGTTGCCCAGGCTGGACTGCAATGGCATGATCTTGGCTCACTGCAACCGCTGCCTCCCAGGTTCCAGCAATTCTCCTGCCTCAGCCTCCTGAGTAGCTGGGATTTCAGGGGTGTGCCACTGTGCCTGGCTAATTTTTGTATTTTTAGGAGACACGGGATTTCACTAGGCTGGTCTTGAATTGCTGACCCCGTGATTCACGCACTTCAGCCTCTGAAAGTGCTGGGATTACAGTCGTGAGCCACTGTGCCCGGCTCTACTCACCTTTTTTTTTTCTTTTCTTTTCTTTTTTTTTTTTTGAGATGGAGTCTCACTCTGTTACCCAGGCTGGAGTGCAGTGGCACAATCTCGGCTCACCGCAACCTCCGCCTGCTAGGTTCAAGTGATTGCCCTGCCTCAGCCTCCAGAGTAGCTGGGATTACAGGCGTGTGTCACCGTGCCCGGCTAATTTTTGTATTTTTAGTAGAGATGTTGTTTCACCACGTTGGTCTGGCTGGTCTTGAACTCCTGACCTCGTGATCCGCCTGCCTTGGCCTCCCAAAGTGCTGGGATTACAGGCATGAGACACCACACCTGGCTCTACTTACTAGTTTTTTAAGTTTAGGGGACACCTTGCCCTCATCCCTAGACTAGATGAATCTACAAATTCCCTGAAATTTGGACCTCTCTGTCTGTTTTTTCCTCTGGGAAGGCTGAATAGGTTGCTACTTAGCGGGTCAAGGCCTGATCTTTGGGGTCTGAGTGGCTTCCTGCCCTTCCTGTGTTTCAGTGCTTTAGTTCTGGAGACCTCTTCGCTGCCCACAATTTCAGCGAGCAGTCACGGATTGGGAGCAGCGAGCTCCAGGAGTTCTGCCCCACCATCCTCCAGCAGCTGGATTCTCGAGCCTGCACTTCAGAGAACCAGGAAAATGAGGAGAATGAGCAGACGGAGGAGGGGCGGCCAAGTGCTGTCGAAGGTGAGCCAGGCTGGGCAGGCAGGAGCCCGTCTCCCGGCCCGTCCTGTCTCACAAGGACTTCCGGGCTCGGCTGCTGCTGCTCACCGAAGGCCTAACCAGTGATATCCAGGAGGAGCTTGTCAGCATCAGGAGGGGGATCGATGATTGTACGGTCAATGTTTGTATTCGCAAGGCTGGCCTAAAACATTGTCAGACTCCTGGGCTGTAGCTGGTGCGTGTTCAGAGCGTTGGACTTTTCAAGCATCCTATGGATGCCTTTTTGGTCCATTTTTTATTTTATGTTGAACCACAGGGGCCCAGTACTTTGGTTTTTTTAATGTTTCTTTTTTTTTTTTTTTTTTTTTTGGAGATAGAATCTCACTCTGTCTCTGAGGCTGGAGTCCAATGGTGCGATCGTAGCTCACTGAAGCCTTGACCTTCTGGGCTCAAGTGATCCTCCTCCCTCCGCCTCCTGAGTAGCTCGGACTACATGTGAGCACTACCATGCCCAGTTAATTTTTAAATTTTTTGTAGAAATAGGACATTACCTAGGCTGGTCTCAAACTCCTCGGTTCAAGTGATCCTTCTGTCTTGGCCTCCCAAATTGCTGGGATCACAGGCCTGAGCCTCTGTACCTGGCTCACTTTGGTTTTATAGTTTTACCTTGAAGACCTCCAGGAGGCTGCACTTGGCCCCCTGAATCCTCCCTGCCCTCCCCATCCCAGTCTCCCTGGTCCGGTGATAGTGGGCTTGCCGTGAGCTGTGAGCGTACACCCCGATTGCCTAAGCCCCACAGGGCCGGCATGTGCTGCCTACTCTGGGCACCCGGAGTATGCTGTTTATGCTACTGTAAGTCGCTGTTTTCTGCTGTCATTATTTACTTGTACGGTTTCTCTCGTTTTGTTCTGTTTCTTCGAGACAGAGTTGCATTCTTGTTACCCAGGCTGGAGTGCAATGGCAGGATCTTGGCTCACTGTAACCACTCTAACCTCCCCCTCCTGGGTTCAAGTGCTTCTCCTGCCTCAGCCTCCCAAGTAGCTGGGATTACAGGCGTGCGCCACCATGCCCTGCTAACGTTTTGTATTTAATAGAGATGGGATTTCACCATGTTAGTCAGGCTGGTCTCAAACGCCCGACCTCAGGTGATCACCCGCCTCAGCCTTCCAAAGTGCTAGGATTACAGACGTGTAGCACCGCACCCGGCCTGCTTTTATGTTTTTTAAGCTTCCATGCTGTTTGCAACCGTCTGTAGAAAAGATGAGTTTCCTTTGGATAGCAGTTTTCACAGAGCTTCCCTAGGCTTCTCTGCAGCATCTGGCGAGAGATGGACTCAGCGAATGTTTACTGATGGATTGGTGGAGCGCGTTCTGCCCCATCACACATGAATTCAGAATAGGCCAGCCCCAGGCAGCAGGAGTGTGTCCCCACCCACAGTAATAGAGGCCCTCGTCTGTTCTTGTTCCTCCACAGTATGGGGCTTTGGTTTTCTCTGTGTCTCACTGATTAACCTGGCCTCTCTCCTGGGAGTCCTCGTCCTGCCCTGCACGGAGAAAGCGTTTTTCAGCCGTGTGCTCACTTACTTCATCGCCCTGTCCATTGGAACGCTGCTGTCTAACGCGCTATTCCAGCTCATCCCAGAGGTGCAGTAGAACAGAATCGTGTGCGTCCTCTTTCCCTGGCACAGCTGAGCCAGTCCCTTCCTCCGCTACCCTGGGCTCCAAGGCATCCAATGACTGCCACCTGAGAATTGAACCTGTCCCTCATATCAAAGCCACCGGTGACTTCTAACTCTGGGTCTCAGGGCCCACCTCTCACTCCTCTGGCCTCTGCAGGTGCTGTCAGATGCAAGGTTCTTCCAGTTTTCTCTCCTCCCAGGACCTGGCAGTCTCCCCTCGCTTCCTAAGCCCCATACATAGGGCATCAAAGGAAAGCTGCAGCTACCGACTGCCATCCATGCCTTTGCTGCTAAGTACTAGCTACGTTTTGTTTTTGTTTTTGTTTTTGAGACGGAGTTTCACTCCTGTTGCCGAGGGGAAGTGCAATGGCATGATCTCAGCTCACTACAACCTCCACCTCCCAGGTTCAAGCGAGTCTCCTACCGCAGCCTCCTGAGTAGCTGGGATTACAGGCATGCGCCACCATGCCTACAAAATTATTTTTTCTATTTTTAGTAGAGACAGGATTTCTCCATGTTGGTCAGGCTAGTCTCGAATTCCTGACCTCAGGTGATCTGCCTACCTCGGCCTCCCAAAGTGCTGGGATTACAGGTGTGAGCCAGCACGCCCGGCCCCCTTTTTTTTTTTTGAGCTGGAGTTTCACTCCTCTTGCCCAGGCTAGAGTGCAGTGGCGTGATCTTGGCTCATTGCAACCTCTGCTTCCCAGGTTCAAGCAACTCTCCTGCCTCGGCCTCCCAAGTAGCTGGGATTACAGGCATGCACCACCATGCCCGGTTAATTTTGTATTTTTAGTAGAGATGGGGTTTCTCCACGTTGGTCAGGCTGGTCTTGAACTCCCGAACTCAGGTGATCTGCCCGCCTTGGCCTCCCAAAGTGCTGGGATTACAGGCATGAGCCACCTTGCCTGGCCAGTGCTCACTCTATTCTAAAGAGAAATCTTGGCAGTACTCGGGTCTGGGCACCAAGAGCTTATCCATCTGGAAAGAGATGGAAGGAAAAGAGGTTACCAGCCATTATACAGAACTGGCCTAAAAAGTGAGTGTTGTTTGATTTTGAGCAGGCCATCATTTCTAGCATAGAGAGTCAAACACAGAATAAAGACCAAGACCAAACAAAATGAAAATAAGATAAATGGAAGAGGGGGCCTCAGTCCTTCGTACCTTGCATCTTGATTTTCCCTGATACGACTGACTTCCTGGTACCTTGACTTCACTGTTTTGAAATGTTAATTTTGTTGTTTAATTGTTATCACAGAGGAGCCATGAAAATAAGACCCAAGTTGACAGTCTGTCCACTTTTTTAGCTCAGGCAGGGGATGCTGCTATTGGGGGTGAGGATACGCAGACGCGTGGTCGACCCCCTTAGGAAGTGGTGAACGCTGCCCTTCTCAGAGATCCATGTTAGCAGCTTCCCAGGCTTTGCCAGTCAAAAGACCCAGAAAAACAGCAAGGGCCAGGCGCGGTGGCTCACGCCTGTAATCCCAGCACTTTGGGAGGCTGAGGCAGGTAGATCACCTGAGGTCAGGAGTTTGAGACCAGCCTGACCAACATGGAGAAATCCCATGTCTACTAAAAATACAAAATTAGCCAGGCATGGTGGCGCATGCCTATAATCCCAGCTACTCGGGAAGCTGAGACAGGAGAATCACTTGAACCTAGCATGTGGAGGTTACAGTGAGCCGAGATCGCCCCACTGCACTCCAGCTTGGTTAACGAGTGAAACTTCATCTCAAAAGAAAACAAAAGACAAGAGAGCATCTGGAAAGAGATGCTTGCCGTGCCTTGCCCTTTCTTCCTGGTTGAATGTCCACCATCTTGCTGACATCTCAGAATTTTTTGTGGATCTGACAAGCACTTTGCAGGAGAGGCCTCAACTTGGGCTATTTTTTCAGCTCCAGCAATGAAATATGTTAATTTTTTAAAGATTTGAAATGAAATTCCTTTGGATCTGTTTGAATGGAAATAATGTAATTGCATGTGCTCTGCCCCTGTGGCCTGCCAGGGAGTGTCTCATCCTGGTGTGCTTCTGTCTTGCCCTCTTCTGGGCCTGGACGGAGTGTCACACTGGGAAATGTTTGAGGAAATCTTCTTGTGACAGGGTGATCCTGGAATTCTGTTCTGTATGCTTGAGCCCCTCTCAGAGCATATGGAAATAAGCAAAGAAGTTGAGAGGTGAAGACACCGAAAATCATGGGCGTTGGGCGTTAATCGCCCTCCATCCCTTCTGCCCTGCACATCTGGCTTGGTTGTATCTCATACAAGCAAACCAAGTGGTCGTGGTGTCACCCAGGCCTGCGCAATATGAATCGGACGCGCAGAAGCAAACACAGCAGCAGAGTGACCGCCCCCTTTCCACATGCTTGCATGTCCTATGAAAGAGAGCCCTCGAGTTCAAAGTCTCGAACAGCCTCTCTGGCAGGCCTGGGCAGACCTCGGGTGTGTGACGAGGCAGCACCCTGCCTGGCCAGTCACACCACTGGCAGGAATGATTTGGGGCTACCAGCGGAAGTCACAGGGTTCCAAGGCCACCTTGAGTTCCTCTTTCTCTTTCTTCTGAACTGATTGAAGGAAATTCCACGAGATTTGAATCACTAACAAATTTTCTATTTCTCTCTCCCTCCCTACTTGTCTCTCTCTGATTTTTCTTTTTTGTTCTGTTCATATCCACCAAACTTTCCTTGTGACCTCCCTATCCACTCCACCTTCCTCCCCCTAAATGGTGGTTGCTGTGCAATGGGGTGTGTGCCTTCTCTCCCTGCCCTGGGTGGGGCTGGCCCTCCCTCCACACGGCAGTGTGGGGATACGGTCTCCTCTGTGTGACCGTCATCTCCCTCTGCTCCCTCATGGGGGCCAGCGTGGTGCCCTTCATGAAGAAGACCTTTTACAAGAGGCTGCTGCTCTACTTCATAGCTCTGGCGATTGGAACCCTCTACTCCAACGCCCTCTTCCAGCTCATCCCGGAGGTATGGCAAGCCAGGGCCTTCACCCCGGAGCACGCCGGTGGGCACAGTGGGAGGGCCTCCGTTTGGATGGACGGCATGGAGAGGGCACCTGGAGGCCCTTTCCTTTTGGAAAGTGAAGCTAGGACTTAGGTGTGAGCTAGGAGAGGCAGCCCAGCATAGACTGAAGAGCTGGGTTCAAATCCCAGCTCCACTGTCAGGAGGTTCTGTAACCTTAGGTACGTCACTGACCTCACAGTGCCTCTGTTTCTTCTGATGTGAGATGGGGAAAGCAATAGGCAGCCTCAGGAGGACGCTGTGAGGATGGAATGATTGATTCTTCGGTAGCACTGAGTGCCTGGTGCTGAAAGTGCTATCAGATGTGGAGTGAAGAGACACAGTGTAGAGAGCTCACTCTGGCTCAGTTGTGGCACTCAGATTGAGGCTTCGGGTACAGAGAAGTTTAAAACACATCATCAGCTGGTCATGGTGGCTCAGGCCTGTAATCCCAGCACTTTGGGAGGCAGAGGCAGGAGGATCACCTGAGGTCAGGAGTTCAAGACCAACCTGACCAACATGGAGAAACACTGTTTCTACCAAAAGTACCAAATTAGCTGGGTGTGGTGGTGGGCACCTGTAATCCCTGCTACTCGGGAGGCACAAGAATCACTTGAACCCAGGAGAGGGAGGTTGCAGTGAGCCGAGATGGCGCCGCTGCACTCCAGCCTAGGTGACAGAGTAAGACTCTGTCTCAAAACAAACAAACAAACAAACAAACAAACCCACACATCATCAGAACCCATAGGTCTCAGTAAGAAGATTGTCCATAGGGAGTTTTGGGGCAAAGGTGATGCAAGTAAAACACTGTCTGGTTTTACATACCTTGATGGCACCTTTGCCTAGTAAGTTCATGGGAAAACTCACCACAAAAGAAGAGGGAAGTGATGGTTTATCTCATTTGATCTAATCCCCTCAGCAGACCCATTAATTACAGTAAGCACAGGACGTCTCCTTGTGAGTGGTCTCACAGGCCTGGACAGAGCCGCAGTTGAAGCAGAGAGATGACTTCATGTGCCTCTTATATCAGTTGATGTTGTCTCTTTTTTTTTTTTTTTTTTTTTTTTTTTTTAGACCGAGTTTTGCCTTGTTACCCAGGCTGGAGTGCAATGGCGTGATCGCGGCTCACTGCAACCTCCGCCTCCTGGGTTCAGGCAATTTTCCTTCCTCAGCCTCCTGAGTAGCTGGGATTACAGGCACACACCACCATGCCCAGCTAATTTTTTGTATTTTTAGTGGAGATAGGATTTCACCATGTTGACCAGGATGGTCTCGATCTCTTGACCTCGTGATCCAGCCGCCTTTTTTTTCTTTTTTGGAGACGGTCTCGCTTTGTCACCGGGCTGGATTGCAGGTGGTGCGATCTCAGCTCACTGCAACCTCTACCTTTCTGGTTCAAGTGATTCTCCTGCCTCAGCTTCCTGAGTAGCTGGGACTGCAGGCACACACCAACACGCCTAGCTAAGTTTTGCATTTTTAGTAGAGACAGGGTTTCATTATGTTGGCTGGGATGGTCTCGATCTCTTGACTTCGTGATCCACCCACCTTGGCCGCCCAAAGTGCTGGGATTACAGGCGTGAGCCACCACGCCTGGCCAACACTTGATGTTTTCTAAAATGTCAGTTGGCTCTCTCCTAGTCCATCCTTAGGTTAACTCGGTAGAACAAGTAACGTTTTACCCATTGGAATCTGACCTGCAAAAGAGCATCTATCCCTGAGCCTAGAACCCAGCTTTTGGAATTTCTGAAGCTCAAGCCATGATTTTGTCTTTACCATCCTTTGTGGCTTTTTGCAGAGAGGTGTTAGTTGACCGTCTTCACTTCACTTTTCCCCTGGATGATTTGACTCCCTTGGAAAATCAACACGAAAGTGTTGTTTCCCTGGAAGGTAGTAATTGAATTTGGCCCCTTTAAAACATAAAGACCACAAACGCTCAGAGTTGCTTGAAGTTGGGATCAACTTTTATTTTGGACCAATTCATGAGAGGGCGGGAGTTCATTCAAGGCCTGTTTCCCATCAGAAAACAGAGGAACAACCCCTTAAATATATATACCTCCTATGCACCCATAAACATTTTTTAAAATAACAGAGGAGCAATTCATTAGATACTTTTTTGTTTTTGAGACAGAGTCTCACTCTGTCACCCAGGCTGGAGTGCAGTGGTACCATCTCGGCTCCCTGAAATCTCTGCCTCCTGGGTTCAAGCCATTCTCCAGCCTCACCCTCCCGAGTAGCTGGGATTACAGGTGCACCACCCCACCCAGCTAATTTTTATTTTAGTAGAGATAGGGTTTCACCCTGTTGGTCAGGCTAGTCTCAAACTCCTGGCTTCAAGTAGTCCACCCACCTCTGTCCCCCAAAGTCCATGAGCCACCACACCCGACCAGGTCATTAGACACTTTCACAAGAACCCACCATAAATCAGGAGCTTAACGTAGGACAGAATTCTCTTGATTTCAACTCCTGTCCTCTTCCCAGTGGATTCTCCCCTCCCTCTTCAGTAAGTGACAGTTTCAGAAAGGACTCAAAACCCAAAAATTGATGCTCGCAGTAACACAGTCTGCTTTCTTGGTTCTGTGGTCACTGGGAGGCCTGCGGTCAGGAAGACGCTGCAGTTATGATTTAACCGAGAAATGGGTTTCCTATTTTAGAAAGTATAATTACCCGTCTCCCTTTGTGTTTACAGGCAGGTCAGCCAGGAACATTAGATAAAATGAAAATAAATACAGGTGTCTGCTCCTTCAGTATGAAATCTGCTGGCAGAGAATGCCTTCATAGCAAAGCACCAAGAGAATTGAAAAGTAGAAAACCGTATCAGAGGCTGTTCTTTCTGGAATTAAAATTCTATAGATGATCAGTCTTTTGCGTCAGCAAATAAGCTTGAAAAGAACCTCGCGGGTTTCGTGATGTCAAATCGGGGAAACACCAGGACTAGATTTTTGCTGGAAAGAGGATGGGTAGATGGCGAGTTCCTCCAGTACGTCTGTCTCCTCTCCTAGAGTGAAGGAAGTAGTTAAGAGATAGGAGGGGGACCAGCGAAGACGCTTTATCTTCTGTAAAACTCATTTTGTTTTCCTGGGTCCACAGGCTTTTGGTTTCAACCCTCTGGAAGATTATTATGTCTCCAAGTCTGCAGTGGTGTTTGGGGGCTTTTATCTTTTCTTTTTCACAGAGAAGATCTTGAAGATTCTTCTTAAGCAGAAAAATGAGGTAAGGCCCAGTTGTTGCTGAAGGAAGCTCTTCAGGGAAAGCACCCATCTCAGGAAAATGTCGATGTATTGCGGTGGTGACGGTGTTAGCTCAGGATCAAAAATTTCATGAAACTCTAATTTCTTGAGGAGATAATCCCATTTCACCTCCTGAAGTGAGGCCAGACCAGAAACTAGATCTGACCTGTGTGCCTTCTCAGCAGTAGTTTATCCCCTTTGTTTTGTTCTAGATGATTTCCTTAATCTATTTGCATCTTTACAGGATGGGGAGAAGGGCTTCGTAACATACATTCATTATGTATGAAGTATGACTGCAGAGAAACAGGACTATTACAATACAGTTTCAAAAAGATATCTTTAGTGGCTGGCACAGAGTTCTTCTCTAAATAGCTGCTGAATTGAGTGAGATAAGCCACTGCAAGAGAGGAGCTCTAAATATTTGAACAGTGGCTGCCTTCCTGGAATAAGCATTTGCCCTGAGGCGACAGCTTTGATACCTGTCTGACGCCAGGTCCTTCACACTTGGTACGGCTTTATGTACATGTATATTAGAAACAGGGTCTCACTTTTGTTGCCCAGGCTGGTCTCAAACTCCTCAGCTCAAGCAGTTCTCCCACCTCGGCCTTCCGCAGTGCTGGGATTACAGGTGTGAGCCCCCGCGCCTGGCCACAGCTTCACAGGACAGCTTTTGCACCGTTTCTAAGCAGGTGACCTGCTTGTGTCCTCTTCAGTGGTAGGGCTGAGGTCTTCCAGTGCATGGAGCGCTTCCTCGGAGCAGGTGCTTGGTCGGGTTTGTGGTTTTGCTGAATGTAATACTGAGCTCTCCTTGCTGCCCCTCCAGCATCACCACGGACACAGCCATTATGCCTCCGAGACGCTTCCCTCCAAGAAGGACCAGGAGGAGGGGGTGATGGAGAAGCTGCAGAATGGGGACCTGGACCACATGATTCCTCAGCACTGCAACAGTGAGCTGGACGGCAAGGCGCCTGTGGTGGATGAGAAGGTCGTTGTGGGCTCGCTCTCTGTGCAGGTCAGTGGGCCACCAGCTGCTTGGTGGAGCGTCTAAGAGGTTGCCTCAGGGTCACCTTGAAGGCACGTGGTCCAGCCTTTGACCCCATGCGTGCTTTCTCCTAGGACCTGCAGGCGTCCCAGAGCGCTTGCTACTGGTTGAAAGGTGTCCGCTATTCTGACATCGGCACTCTGGCCTGGATGATCACTCTAAGCGACGGCCTCCACAATTTCATCGATGGCCTGGCCATCGGCGCCTCCTTCACCGTGTCAGTTTTCCAAGGCATCAGCACCTCGGTGGCCATCCTCTGTGAGGAGTTCCCACACGAGCTGGGTAAGCGTGCGTCCTCCGTTCTACTGGTGCTCCCTCAGGTGATGGTGCAGGCCCCCTTCCTGTGGCCGGTTCCTTGCTCCCGTCTCCCTGCCTTCACAGAGCTTATTGTAACTGGTTGACATTGCCCCCAAAGCTTCATGGACTCTAATCACTATTTCTTAACAATTATTTAGAGAATTTTAGCCATGTGTGGTGGCTCACGCCTGTAATCCCAGCACTTTGGGAGGCTGAGGCAGGTGGATCACGAGGTCAGGAGTTCAAGACTAGCCTGGCCAATATGGTGACACTCTATTCAAAATACAAAAATCGGCCAGGTGCGGTGGCTCACACCTGTAATCCCAGCACTTTGGGAGGCTGAGGCGGGTGGATCACGAGGTCAAGAGATCGAGACCATCCTGGTCAACATGGTGAAACCCTGTCTGTACTAAAAATACAAAAAATTAGCTGGGTATGGTGGTGCATGCCTGTAATCCCAGCTACTCAGGAGGCTGAGGCAGGAGAATTGCCTGAACCCAGGAGGCGGAGGTTGCGGTGAGCTGAGATTGTGCCATTGCACTCCAGCCTGGGTAACAAGAGCGAAACTCCGTCTCAAAAAAAAAAAAAAAAAAAAAAAAAAAAAAAAAAAAATTAGCTGGCATGGTGGCGTGCGCCTGTAATCCCAGCTACTCGGGAGGCTGAGGCAGGAGAGTCACTTGAACCTGGGAGGTGGAGGTTGCAGTGAGTTGAGTTTGTACCATTGCACTCCAGCCTGGGTGACAGAGCAAGACTCCATCTCAAAAAAAATAAATAAATAGATAATTTTAAATGATGGGGTTTTTATAAAGGTGTTTCCTTTTAGCCCCACATGCAGTGGCTCAGTTCTCATCTATACAGTGGGGTTAATAAGAGCACCCCCTTTTAGAATTATGGTGAGGATTAAAGAAAAAAGGCGAAAGGGACTTCCCATGTGCCAGGTGCTCTTCTGAGCACTCAGTAAAGGCTCTCTTCCAGCCTGTTCATCTTCCAAAGGCTCAGGTGCCTGGCAGGTGGATGAACCAGGGGGTAGGAGGGACTTAGTTTCATCAGAGGGAGTGTGTGAAAAGCCAGTAATTACTTTAGAGGCTTAGGGACGACTGAGGGTCAAGTTCTGGCTTTGCCATGTATTGACTTGAGACTTTGGGCATATCACTTCACTTCTCACAATCTCTATTTTGTTTCCATGGTAGTTGTGAGGAAGGGGGTTCCTTCTGTTTCACCATGAATCCAGAGAGAAACGAGGAGGCCAGTGCCAGCTGGTCATCTATTTTTAAAATCCTGGGAAAGATTTTCAGCCTCTAGGCTGGGTACATGGCCAGTTTGGCAAGTGGAGATGGGTCTGAACAGGAAGTTCAAAGGCCTGTCTCGTCACTTCAGTCTTTTTTTTTTTTTTATTTGGAGACGGAGTTTCGCTCTTGTTACCCAGGCTGGAGTGCAATGGCGCGATCTCGGCTCACTGCAACCTCCGCCTCCTGGGTTCAGGCAATTCTCCTGTCTCAGCCTCCTGAGTAGCTGGGATTACAGGCACATGCCACCATGCCCAGCTAATTTTTTGTATTTTTTTTTAGTAGAGACGGGGTTTCACCTTGTTGACCAGGATAGTCTCGATCTCTTGACCTCATGATCCACCCGCCTTGGCCTCCCAAAGTGCTGGGATTACAGGCTTGAGCCACCGTGCCCGGCGTCACTTCAGTCTTGAGTCTGGGGCTGTCTTGATTGTTTTTCACCCACACTTTAAGCAGTCTGATGTCATCAGTGCCCTTTGTCTCCCAAGACCTTGTATGACTGTCTCGCTCTGTTGCCAGGCTGGATTCAAACTCCTGGGCTCAAACTGTCCTCCCTCCTGAGCCTCCCAGGTAGCTGGGATTACAGATGTGCACCACCATGCCCGTCTACTCTTCTTTCCTCATTCCTTCCCTTCTCTTTCTTCCTGCTGTAGGAGACTTTGTCATCCTGCTCAACGCTGGGATGAGCATCCAACAGGCTCTCTTCTTCAACTTCCTTTCTGCCTGCTGCTGCTACCTGGGTCTGGCCTTTGGCATCCTGGCCGGCAGCCACTTCTCTGCCAACTGGATTTTTGCGCTGGCTGGAGGAATGTTCTTGTATATTTCTTTGGCTGATATGGTAAGTGTTTCATAGTTCATTGGATGGGAGGGCAGCTAAGGGGACATAATGTAGGTATTTTTTTCCTAGGTTTGTCTCATAGGCTGGAGTGCAATGGCACAGTCTTGGCTCACTTCAACCTCTGCCTCCTGGGTTCAAGCGATTCACCTGCCTCAGCCTCCTGAGTAGCTGGGATTACAGACATGTGCCACCACGCCCGGCTAATTTTTGTGTTTTTAGTAGAGATGGAGTTTCACCATGTTGGCCAGGCTAGTCTTGAACTCCCGACCTCAGATGATCCACCCCCTGAGCCTCCCACAGTGATGGGATTACAGGCGTGAGCCACCAAGTCTGGCCACTAGTTTGTTTTTAATAACAGTTTTCTTAGCTTTCTTTCACATACCACAGAGTTGGTCTGTTTAAGGTGTGCCTACCATTCAGTGGTTTTTAAGGGGGCATTAGATTTTAAAGGAGGAAAAAGTTTATGTTTTTGTTAGCATATGTCATTAAGGAAAATGATTATACTCAATCTATGGCCTTAATAATTCTTATAGAATAGATGTATATAGATAAGAGAGAGAAGGAAGAAAAGAAAACTACCCATTATTATACTACCCCTAAAACAATAATAGCAACACTTTGGTTTGTTACTTTTTTTTATTTCGATGCATAGGGCATATCTTTTTCTTTTTTTTTTTTTTTTTTTTTTTTGAGACGAAGTTTCGCTCTTGTTACCCAGGCTGGAGTGCAATGGCACGATCTCGGCTCACCGCAACCTCCGCCCCCTGGGTTCAGGCAATTCTCCTGCCTCAGCCTCCTGAGGAGCTGGGATTACAGGCACGCGCCACCATGCCCAGCTAATTTTTGTATTTTTAGTAGAGACGGGGTTTCACCATGTTGACCAGGATGGTCTCGATCTCTTGACCTCGTGATCCACCCGCCTCGGCCTCCCAAAGTGCTGGGATTACAGGCTTGAGCCACCGCGCCCGGCCATATCTTTTTCTTTAATTTTTAATTATGTTTTTTTAGACAGAGCCTCATTCTTCCCCAGCCTGGAGTGCAGTGTGTGATCATTGGTCACTGCAACCTTGAACTCCAGGGCTTAAGTGATCCTCCTCCCTCAGTCTCCCAAGCAGCTAGGACTACAGGCTCCAGCCACTATGCCCCGCTAATGTTTTGAATTTTTCTTGAATGGACTCTCTGTGTTGCCTAGGCTGATCTTGAACTTCTGGCCTCAAGGGATCCTCCCATCTCAGCCTCCCAAAGTGCTGGGATTATAGGTGTGAGCCACTGCATCTAACCTGTTTATAACATCTTGGTAGTAAAAAGACCTCTTCAAGTATTTAAAGCCCACAGGAAGGCCAGGCATGGTGGCAGGCAGCTGTGGAGCTACTCAGGAGGCTGAAGTGGGATGATTGCTCGAGACCAGGAGTTCAAGGTTGCAGTGAGCTATGACCGCAACACTGCACTCAAGCCTGGGCAACAGAGTGAGACCCTATCTCAAGAAAGGAAAAAGAAGTCTAGAATAAAAAGTTTATTTTTTAAATCAGAGTATATTTATTTTTAGCCAACCTCTGAACTCATCCAGGGCCACATACATATTGAATACTTTGTTTTGCCCACATTGTTGTAAAGACATGGTGTCTGCTATTGTTCATTTTCTTTTTTTTAATTTTGTTTTGTTTTTGAGAGGGAGGCTTGCTCTGTTGTCCAGGCGGGAGTTCAGTGGTGGGGTCTCCAGTCACTGTGTGCAGGGTTCAAGCTATTCTCCTTCTCCTGCCTCAGCCTCCCAAGTAGCTGGGACTATAGGTGTGTACCACCATGCCCAGCTATTTTTTTTTTTTTTTTTTTTTGAGACGGAGTCTTGCTCTGTCGCCCAGGCTAGAGTGGAATGGCGTGACCTTGGCTCACCACAACCTCCTCCTCCCGGGTTTAAGCAATTCTCCTGTCTCAGCCTCCCAAGTAGTTGGAGTTACAAGCACCCACCACCATGCCTGGCTAATTTTTGTGTATTTTAGTAGAGACAGGGTTTTGCCATATTGGTCAGGTTGGTCTCGAATTCCTGGCCTCAGGTGATCCACCCACCTCAGAGCCATCTCAGCCTCCCAAAGTGCTGGGATTAGTGAGCCACTGCTCCTGGCCCTGTTCATTTTCTTTGTCAAACCAACCTGATCTATATCTCCATGACTGAATTGCCCTGGACTTAGAAGATGAAGGAGGGAATTGCGGCTATGTTTTTTCTCGCTTCTTTCTCAGTTCCCTGAGATGAATGAGGTCTGCCAAGAGGATGAAAGGAAAGGCAGCATCTTGATTCCCTTTGTCATCCAGAACCTGGGCCTCTTGACTGGATTCACCATCATGTTGGTCCTCACCATGTATTCAGGACAGATCCAGATTGGGTAGGGCCCTGCTAAGAGCCTGTGGGACCGGAAGTCGGGCCCCTGGGCTGCCCGATCTCCAGCCCGAGGACTCAGCGTCCCAAAAGCACCACAGAAGAGGCCGTTCCATTCAAAACGGACACAGACTGTATTCCTGCATTCAAATGTCAGCCGTTTGTAAATGCTCTATCCTAGGAATAAGCTGCCCTGGTAACCAGCCTCTAGCTAGTGCCTCTTGCCCTCTCCTCACCTCCTTTTCTCTCAGTGACTCTGGAACCTGAATGCAGCTTGTAAGACAAGCCTGACTTTTTTTCTCTGATTACCTTGGCCTCCTTCTCTTGGAACCAGTGCTTAAAGGTTTTGAATCCTTTACCCAACAATGCAAAAATAGAGCCGGTGGTTATAACTTGGCTAGAAATATCAAGAGGTGAATCCATAGCGTGGGGCTGTGACTCTAGCTGGGCGCCCTGGACCTCCAGCTGGCCAACAGAAAGACGAGACAGGAGACAGGAAGCCTTCCCATTTTTTCAAAGTCTGTTTAATTGTCTATTACTTCTCTCAAAGGGAACCTGAAGTCAGAACAGATGAGCAGGGTGAGGGGCAAGGGTTCATCCTGAGAAGGAGAGGAAGTCGAACCACTGCTGTGTGTCTTGTCAGGGTGGCCACTTGTTCCTACTGAGATGCTGGGTTTGGTTTTGTGCTTTGTTTTTGTTCTTTGAGACAGTCTTGCTCTGTCGCCCTGGCAGGAGTGCAGTGGCTCGATCTCAGCCCACTGCAACCTCTGCCTCCGGTCTTCAAGTGATTCTCCTGCCTCAGGCTCCCAAGTAGCTGGGATTACAGGCATGGGTCACTCTGCCTGGCTAGTTTTTGTATTTTTAGTAGAGAGGGTGTTTCGCCATGTTGGCCAGGTTGGTCTTGAACGCATGACCTCAGATGATCCACCTCCCAAGCTCATGATCTCAAACTCAATGTTCTCGAACTCATGACCTCAGATGATTCACCCGCCTCGGCCTCCCAGAGTGTTGGGATTACAGGCGTGAGCCACTGCGCCCGGCCGGGTATTGATTTTGTAGCAGCACCTGGTGTTTCATGGCTGTCAGGTGAGCTAACATGGGGATGTGGCTGCCTGGACCATTTTCAGATGAGCACTGATAGAACAGAGGGTCAGGCTGTCTGTAAGACATCAGTTGGTTTGGCTGCGATTCTTACCTCCTCTTCCCCACTGCCATCTTCTACCAGACTTGGTAGCTGCCTCCCTAGAAGCACATTCGGAGCACATTTGAGACCTTGTGTTAGAGGGGAGACAGCACAAACTATCCTCCTCCCGTTGAGAGGTCTGCAGAGTGGCAAGCTGACTTCAGAACTGAAGTGCCATCTATCCTGTACTTAGTCAGGGGTAATCAGAAATGCAATCAGTGCAGGCAAAATTTAGGATTTGCTGCTTCCGTAAAGCAAAGCATGACTAACAGGGGTCTCTGAAATGTGAGGTCACAGACTTCACTTATGGCATCATCGGTGTTTGCAGAATGGCGGGCCTAATGATGATGCTGCACATGGCTTTTTAATGACCTGTCTAGGTTACCGTTTCCTTGCAAAAAAAAAAAAAAGTCAAATCCTGTATTGAATTGAATATGAATTGATCTAACTCTCTTCAGAAAATGGCTGGAGACACTTGTCTGCAAAACTGTAGGCCAGCCTCTGGCACTGTGGAGCCCTTGCCTCTGAGCTCTGGCTTCAAGGGGAGCTCATTTCCAGGTTCACTAGGTGAATTGATTTATTATTATCATATTGATAATGTGAGATTCTTCAGCCACTTTGGGGAGCCTGTCTCTCCAGAAGCCTTTCTTAGTGGTGCCCGCAGTTGCAGCTCAGGGGCCATGTTTGCAAACTGATTCACGTGCGTGGCCGGCAGGAGTACTGGTTCATTACCAATGCCTGAGTTTTTCTCTTCTCACATAGAAAAGCTGTCACTCAGTAACCACAAGCAGCATCAATTTTGTTTTCTCTTCTTGGGAGATAACTCTCAAACCAGGAATATTCTTGAAAAGAGCATGAGCAGGAAAACTGCTGATGATACTTCTAAGTTTTTTTCTTATCTTGCCTGTTGGCTTCAATACATTTGAGAATATGCTGAAGAAGGAAAATTTCAGTGATGGAGATTCTAGGTTAAATATCAGGACTGACTCCTGGTAGGGTTATGGTCCAGTTTTACCAAAGAACCAATTCCTTGAATGTTGGAATCTAACTTTTTATATTATCACTATTATTGTTGTTGTTTTAAAACGGTTCTTCGTCTTTTCTGTTTTATTTTTCTCAAACTGCTTTCGGGAGCTAGCAGAAAATAACTCAAAAGTGTAAGACTCTGGAATATTTTGCTTTTACCTAAGTCGCATTGATGTATTAAATTTATAATGTTAGCATTCCCAATAGACCCCGCCATTCCTTAAACATAATTCCCTTTGTCTTGGGGTAGAATACTAAGTTAGAGTTAGTGGATTTCTAGTTTAGAAGAGGAGCTCAAAGCTATAATCTTTAACAAATTGAAAAATGAAATATGAAATAGGGTGCTTTCTGTGCGCACCTATATTACCTAAAGAAATGTCCTTTCATAGACAGCTGCCTCAAAGGGAATCCTCTTTAAACTGTAATTGGCGCAGAGGTCAGTCCTAGTTGGAGCTTAGGAGAGGTGGAGACACTCACATCATCGGACTTGAGTTGCCACTGATTGTGGCTTCCGCTTTGCCTCATGAGTCAAAAATGTGGCAATTTCTTTGGCTTTTTAGGTGTTGAATTTGCTGTTTTAAGTATTTGTACATAGTAGAAGTCTAAGGAGTAGGAGTCGTTGGGAAGACTTTTTCACCCATATGCACCAGCTCCTATTAAGATATTAGCATGGAAAGTGTATGTCAGATGCAGGAACAGTGAGGCAGGGTCAGGAGTTCTGCTTCTGCTCCCGTCACCACTGGCACGCAGCTTGCCCCGTCTTTGCTCCCAGAGGTATTTTGTGTCTAGTGTCAACTTGGAGCTGTGCTTCATTGGTCCTTAACCTTGGGTTTTAAAAAGAAGGCTTCTCTGTTTGGGTAGCGTAAGAACTGATTATGAACTGATTATAGTAAGTCTTCTTCCAAACAGATGGTAACATATGGAGCATCTGCTTTATAAATAGTTGTCTGATTTTTGCAAGAGAGGTTAGGATTTTATTGTTCATATTTCCCTTTACAGTTCTGCAATTACATCACAGTATTTTTTTAAACAACTCAGGTGTTATGAGAAGAAATCAGAAAATAAAATTAACTTATGTGGACTGTAAATGTTTTATTTGTAAGATTCTATAAATAAAGCTATATTCTGTAATTGTTGAGTGCCTCGTGTGATCATTTGCAATAAATATGAATGTAATGAAGGCTGTTGAACACAAGGTGGCGATGGTGTCTCACTGACATACAAAGTTTTGTTTTACCAGGTCTGGTTTAACATTTATTTGACTGGGATTTAGAAGGAATATATATATATATATATATATATATATTTTTTTTTTTAGACAGAGTTTTGCTCTTGTCACCCAGGCTGGAATGCAGTGGTGCGATCTCGGCTCACTGCAACCTCTGACTCCCAGGTTCAAGCAGTTCTCCTATGTAGGTGGGATTACAGGCGCCCGCCACCATGCCTGGGTAAATTTTGTATTTTTAGTAGAAATGGGGTTTTACCATGTTGTCCAGGCTGGTCTCAAAACTCCTGACCACAGGTGATCCACCTGCCTCAGCCTCCCAAGTAGCTGGGACTACAGGCATGCGCAACCATGCCCAGCTAATTTTTTAATTTTTAGTAGAGACGGGGTTGTGCCATGTTGGCCAGGATGGTCTCGGAACTTCCAGCCTCAAGTGATTAGCCTGCCTCTCAAAATGCTGGGATTACAGGTAAGAGCCACCATGCCAGCCTATGCTCACTTTAAAACTAATTGGTTACTCTCTATCTAGATATATCTATATCTGTCTAGTTTTATATATATCTACAGAAAGAGTAGGCTTGAACTCCCAGGCTCAAGCAATCCTCCCGCCTTAACCTTTTGAGTAGCTGGGACTAGAGGTGCACACCACCATGCCTGACTAATTTTTTATTTTTTATTTTTTTAAATATAGAAACATCTTGCTATTTATTGCCCAAGCTGGCCTTGAACTCTTGGCTTCCCAAAGTGCTGGGATTATAGGCGGGAATCACTGAGCCTGGCCAAAAATGATTAGTTTCTCTTACGGAGGCTATGACAGCACCCTGTTGCATGATTTTAAAAAAAATTGCAGTGTTTCCAAGAAGACTTTTCTATCACGCTGTTTTCTCTTTTATAAACTTGAAACTTGCAATGTGTGCTTAGTTCGTTGAAGCCACATCTCTTATGTCTTACAGGGAGAAGGTCCTTTGTCAATGAGACTTAAAATTCTAAAGCTGTTCTCTTTCCAATTTAGTTGTAGGGTCGGGGATCTGTTTTTCTTCAGCAACAGAAATGAGCAGTAAGATTTTAAACACAAAAAAGTTGGTTCAATTTTATGACTGCCTTCATTAGAGATTTCTAAATGCCTGATAGTCCTTCCTTTGTTAAAACAAGAATAATAGGCTAGACTAGGCTCACGCCTGTAATCCCAGCACTTTGGGAGGCCAAGGTGGGTGGATCACTTGAGGTAAGGAGATTAAGACCAGCCTGGCCACATGGTGAAACCCGGCCTCTAACTAGAAGCACAGAAATCAGCTGGGTATAGTGGCGCATGCCTGTAATCCCAGCTACTCAGGAGGTTGAGGCAGAAGAATCGCTTGAACCCAGGAGGCAGAGGTTGCAGTGAGATGGCGCCATTGCACTCCAGCCAGGTGACAGCTGAGGCTTCATCTCAAAAAACAACAAAAAAAGCCCGAATAGTATATGAAGTGGCTCATGTTGGTCTTTTAATTTGCATGACTTCACTACTCTGCCGTTTGCTGTTCAAAGTGACATCCACTCTGCCCTTTAGCTCCTGACACCTCGACATCCTCTTCTGCACACAATCCCTCCTGCCTTCCCAGGTGTCTGTTTCTGCGTACCTCAGTTACAGGAGTTGCATTATAACCGCTGTTCTTTGTATACCAATTTCCTTCTGGGTGGAGGCTGTAACTGATTTCTTTTTGTGATGTCAGCACTGATCACATGGAAAAAATGAATGAAAAGACTCAATGAGCCGCGTGCAGTGGCTCATGCCTGTAATTCCAGCACTTTGGGAGACTAAGGCAGGTGGATCACTTGAGATCAGGAGTTCGAGGCCAACGTGGCCAACATGGTGAAACCCCATCCCTTCTAAAAATACAAAAATTAACTGGGCATGATGGTCAGTGCCTGTAATCCCAGATACTCCAGAAGCTGAGGTAGGAGAATTGCCTGAACCCAGGAGGCAGAGGTTGCAGTGAACAGAGATTGCACTATTGTTTTTTTTTGTTTTTTTTTTTTTGTTGTTGTTATTTAATTAGATTATTAGGACATTTAAAATACCGATTTGTGAGGATAAATTCCGTTTGTTAGGGCAAACACAGATCGCAGGTGGCCCTGGAGCTGAGGAATAGCTTTGGTTTTTGGTAAAATTTGTGAGTCCACAGCTTTCTGATCAATCTTGCGCTGCTCTGTAATCTCGTATTTCTCTTTTTCTGTGTCGAAGATCTCACGTTCCTGGGGTCTGGGCTTTCGCAGCTTCTTCTTGTTGAAGTAAGCATCAGTAAGATGTTTTGGGA